CACACCTATCTGTATTATTAAAACTTCATTTTTGACATACTCTGTGTCACACCGACTGCTAAAGGACTTGAGGATTGAAAGGGCCTGTGGAAAACCAAATCAAACCTAAAAAGTGCCCATGCTATGAAAGATGGTGAGACAGGCTCATAAACGCCAAGGTGAGAGAGCTTTCCAAGGAACATAAGAAACTGTGGGAAATGGGCTATTTCCTTGGGATAATAAATCATTCACAGCAAGAAGATACAGCATGAAGTTGAGAAGAACTGTTCACAGAACCACAGAACTCAGGTAGCATTTAATCAGTAAAATGTTGCCTCAGTATCACCACGAAAAAGAGCTAACTCCTCATAGCTAGGAAGGATGTCTCCTTCCCAAAATTTTTCTTTTCAAAAATGCCAATTCTTTTCCCAAAACAGGATCAAACAACATCAGAAACAAGAGGTAAATGCCTTAGAGAACTTTGGGGTACTAGCTGAAATCAGAACTGGAATTTGTGACCGTTTCTTAGCACTCCAATCATCATTTTGATTAATCTGAGCAAGTAGTCTCATTAGATATGACAAAAATGTCTGCTTAAAAGCTATCTGCTATATGTCATCTGCATGCAAAAAACCCCACGCTACAAATTACATTAATCTAATTGATAGAGCAGAGGTATTTGCTTGACAAACAGTTGGAGCAACTTTAGCCATTACTGCTCTTACAGTGGAGCAGGTGGAAAAGGTTGGGTGAGCTCTTTACAACCTCTTCAGGACTTAACCTCCAATCTGACCTCACCCACTCTACCAGAGAAAGTACATATATGCGCCAATCTGCTACATCATCACAGGAGACTGAAGTTTCTAATTCAGGTGGTACCATGTTTTAACAGGCTTTTTCACACCAGAAAACATACAGGTTTTTTGTTTGTTTGTTTGCTTGCTTTTTTAATACTTATGAATAGGAAAACACAACGAAAAAAGCTCATCTAAGTTTTCTGGCAATACAGAACTTGTGTTTCCAATAGCCTAAGAGCACAAACGTTACAGTTTAATCAACTGTTTTGGCTCCAGTTTGGGGAAGTATTTGAGCACATGCTTACCCCTAAGCAACTGCATGAAAATCAAAGAACAACTCACGTCCTTTGCACTTGCAAATTAAATGGACAGAACTGCTGTCTGAAAGAGCAAGAGTCTACAGCCACATTGACTGTAAATCATCTTGTAAGACATCAGGCAAAAATCAGACGCATGGAAGAAAGGGCAGACTCCCAGATAAAACAACACTTTAAAATGCAAATGAAAGTCAATGGGTTGTAGACCTCTTCTGTGAATCCTCTGTCTGATCCTTCTCATTACAGGCATTCTCATACTGCCAACTTATAGCTTTAAGCTGCAGATTTTGTTTTCTTTAAACAGGTCCCAGGCTGCAATAAGGGATTATTCCTTTTAACATCTGAATTCCAGAGCAGATAGGTTACCATCTCAGGCAAGCTACATCCATATAGTTAGCATCTCTGATCCAAACACATCAAACATCATCAGACGTGTATAATGCTCTTACTTTGTAGACTAATACACTTTTGAACACACAGACGAATGGTTTGCCCCAAATCATTGACGAGACAGCAGGCCTAACATTCAAACCTTGCAGTCTCCACATCCAGGCATCCGCCCAAACCACCGCAATAGAAGCCTCAACACTGACAAAACAAGCATATTGACAGAGCGCAAAAGAACACGCTTCGAAACAATCCGTTACATGGATATATTTATTGCATTGTAGTTTTAGCACTGTTAAATATAAATATTTATATCTAGAAAGCAGAATATTGCAAATTCTGTATTATTCAGTACGTTCATAGCAGCATCAGCTTCCTAATAAACAAAATATTTAGGAAGACAAAGGAATTACAAACAAGTTACATTCCCATTTATCACCATTTGACCAAAACATGGTATTGCAGCTGTGAAATAGATATTGAAGTCACCAAATCTGACCTTGAAGACATAAATAATTTCAAGACTGAAGTGTGTCATTATACCTGATATCCTGCACATTTTTAGTGTGTTGAGACATAAGGCTAACAGTCAAGTGCCTGAAGAGGGCAGATGATCTACGTATCTGCATTACCTGACGTATTATAGTTTTAATAACGATACGTAGCACTTTTATAGCACTCACTGCTCCCCAAAATCCTTGTGAGACAGGCAAGGATTGCTCTCAGATGCATTACAGCCGCGGAGCATGAGGGAGAGAGAGGGAAGGTGACTTGCAAAGGCCATACAGTGAGCAAGTGGCAGTAGTGAGATCAGAATTTGTCAGCACCTGACTTCCAATCCCATGTTGGTCTGGTAGGTCATGCTGTTCCTATGTGTTTCATTTAGGAAGTTTTATAAATTACTCATCAGTTAATAAGTCCCAATCCATGCAGATATACTGGATGCATGCATCATCTGAAAAGAGGTCGGCACAAGTACTCCCCTCATAATGCCCATTTTAGTCCTAAAGAAAGTGAAAACTTCTCTCATTTTCTAATCTCAGAATGATCCGTCAAGCAGAAGACACCATGATACAACTGCGCTTTGCTCTGAAGCAGTGGAAATCAGAAGCAATTGCTAAAGGAGCAGGAACAGCTTTCATTTCTTTCCTGAGGGAGAGCACTGATCTTCTGAGAGGAAAAAAGGATGGATATGTTTTTACACAAGCTGATCAAACCACTTTTCATTCTAAACGAATACAAGACTGACTGAAAGTCTCAGGTGTACTAATTTTCTTCAGCTAAGTCATCCAATGTACACTATGAAGCTAGCAGCTAATAAGCGAGTTATCCAGGAACATCAGAAGCCATTTTCCTTCTCTGACAGGCCTTCATTTCTGTCAGCTAAGAGCAAGAGCACTTACAGCGACATCTAAAAGGACTTGTAAACATCACGAGACAAGACATCTCTGAGTCCCCCACTAAAGTAGTCCTTTCTCCTGCACCCCCAGGAAACAAAGAAGGATAACCAAGCCTCCTACCATCCTTGCCTCAAAAGAGGAAATTTGCTTACTTGTTTTTTCTCCCACTGGGTTTCCTCTGCAAAATTTGAGAGGCAGAATCAAATGCGTCAATTATTAGGGATGGAGCCCGGCAGAGACTCTGTGCGCACAGCTCGCACGTTGTGAAACGTAACGTACACCGGACCTGGTTCTCTCCGCACTCCCTGCATCATCTGTGCAGCACAACAGCCCAATGCTGGCCAAGTTACGCCATAGTGTACAGACAGGAGCTGTGAAGGCTAAAAAGTGACCTCTCCTTTACAGAAGCTGTCATCAAGGAAGGTATTTTCTCTTACCTCCTTTTTCTTGGCCTATTCTCCCACTTTCAGCATATCATGAAAGCCTACAGTTGGAAAAATACACAGAGTGGAACATGTTATGCTACAGTAGACTATCCACTACTCTTCCACCAGCAAAAGTGTTCATCAAGTGCATTAATCCTGCAGTGCCAGCACGGAGGGAGGGCAGTTGACTGCCTCGCGTTACCTCCTCACAAGTGGCTTCACTGGTGTTTTTCTTCTCAGGCTGCTAATGGCCAAAAAAGGTGGCAGCAACAGAAGTTTTTGAATGGTAAACCACTTCCTCACATTGTTGCTACCATGTGACCACGGATGCTTTTTCCTCCTGATGCACTGGCAAAGCAGAACAGAAAGAGCTGTGCATTTTTTGCAAGTGTTTGTCCTTTCCAAGCAAGCTTCAACTTACATCCAGCTCTTGCTCGTTGCATTGTGGTTACAGAGTCAGGACAGATGAAAAGAAATGTAACCTCCTGAAAAGGGGCCTTTGCTTCTAATGACAGTGGCTCTTAAAAGCACCTTTTTAGATATGAAATGCACATTACCGGCTACGTGAACAGTGCTGTAGTTTTTTAAAAAGTTGGAACATTTATCTGACGGTGAGACACAGGCACTGCTGGAAAAAGGCTGAGAGTTACAGTTTCTGAATGAAAACCTAAGCGCGTTCTTATCTTTTGGTCCAAGCATACCCTACTAGAGTATTCACATTTTTGGTAAATTAAAAAATAAAGCTCAATTCGAACTCTTTCCTCCTTTGCTAGATTTTTAGCTCACTAGTTAGAAGAGTGTTACCAAGATGTTACATCTCTCTCCTACAGGACGCCCTGCTTGAGTTCCTGTTGCATCCGGACAACCCTCTCTCCTTCGACTCCCCCTAGTCAGGCCTCACGTCTAAGCACAATGCAGCTTCATGGACAAGACCCAAACAAGATACAGGCGAGCACTTCATGAGTCCTCAAGTTTGTCGTCTTTTTTTTTGTGAGGATAATACCACCAATAAAAGTGCATGGAGCTCATGCTGTAGACACCTGAGGACGAGAGTTGCTTCTCCCTAGAAGCTCTCATTGTAAAGTTAGATTGGTTACGCTCAAGTTTGCAAACTGACCTGTGTCTCCTTGAGCTCTGTTTTTCTGTGTGTGCATAACTAACTTTGGTTCTTGGCCTGTTTAGGCCCACCTGCCATCTGGCTCTGAAATGACTATCTCACTCGAGAAAGATTACCTCAGATCTTCCCCTTCACTGGAAGAAGGGAAGTATTTCTTTAGCCTCTCTTCTTTCAGTGGTGTCTTCATACATTTCCATCTGTGCATCTCGATAATATCTTTTCAGAATAAATACAGATTTTCGGTTTGTAATAGCTTAATCACAACAATATGACCTTTAGTCACTTCATCAGGCAGTGTCATCACATAACTCCACAAATTCTGTAATCCTTTCAATTTTCAGTACCATTTATAGTAAGTATTAGCCTTTCAACATGTTTTAGCAAAGGCAGTCTTACGATTGCTATAGTACAAGCTATAGTACAAGCTTCAGATTTTGAGGCCAGTCTCAAGAAGCAAAAGCATGAAAGCATAGTTCTGGGCTGCAGAAGATGCATTGTAGCACTGACATTTTACACTTTGCAATGCAGACAGAAGAGAAAAAGTCTTTGTATTAATTCACAGTATTTTGCAGTCATGCTTTGAAGCAGACACAAACATATTATTCAACAGCCTCTCAGGAAAGAGCTTGCCTGGCTGAAGGTATCACTGCATCTTTGCTACTGTTGCTGGCTCTTAAAGGGCGTAGCACTGTGCCTTGCAATTTTAACCAGTTGCAGAGCTTTTAAGTTTAAGCTGACCCATTTAATCAAAGACAGAAAGTTTCTCTGGAGATACACATCTTTGGAAACTTAGTGTTTTCATAGTTTGCTATCCTACTGCATTTACATCTTCTTTCTTCAAGACTGTGGGTGAAATCATTTTTTCCACCCGGCTCATTTAGGTCTGTCACATAGATTTAGGGCCTTAAGTCCGGGTTCTAAAGTCTACACAGAAATTTCTTATTCCAGGAGAAAAACAGAAAGGTGTGAGGAGCATGTCGGACAGAATGCCAAACTGCACAAAAATTAGATATTTTTTGTCTTTGCATTTTTTTTCCTGGAGACTTCTTCATCCACTGCTAAGTGCAAGTGAATGATTACAACAGCAAACTAGGAAAATCCAGAGCTGTTGGAAGGAAAAAAGTGAAGAATCAGTTTACTTCAACAGATCCAAGACAAACAGTTCTTCTGACCAAATACTTAATTCCAAAAGTCTGCCACTACTCTTTGCAGAGAAAAGTACAGAGAAAAGCAGAAATTTTAACAATCGCCTCCAGCTATCTGGATGCAAAACTGAACTAGGTAACATTCCTTAAGGAGGGGAAAAGAGCCTACTCCTGCTGAGAGATCTGCCCCTGCTTCCAAATGATACAGAAGGGAAAGCTGCATCAGAAACAATGAATCCAAGAACTCAAGGACAAGAAACAGATGGAAAACAGTACTTACTGACTACTTCAGTAATAACCCAGTGAGGAAATGCCAGGCACTTGTCTCTGGATCAGTGAAAACCTTCAGGCCACAACCAAAAACTGGACTAGTCAGTCGAGAGAAGGAACTACAATCATATTTTCCACAAGCTGTTTTTTGTGCCTTTGGCCTTATTCATTCCACTGCCACAAGCCTATTTAAGAAGCGCTTGATAAAAATGAAGCACCTGTGCAAAAGGGCTTCCCCAGAAATAATCCCATTCATGCCATCCATAACTTAAAGCTAACACAGCAGGTCTTAGCCAGTCTCCACTTACCATTTTTCCCTACTTTCCCGCAGCGCAGAAGGGTTTTATGCCATGGTCCCGTGCAAACCCCATTCAGACTATATTAGAAACGTCTATAGAACTGTATCACCATACAAAGAAAAAAGCCATTCTTAAAGTAACCACAAGATTTCACTCCCCACTTGAGCTGTGCTGGCAAAGAAAAGACATATGACACTGTAAGAAATAGCTGACATCACAGTTCAATGCCAAGAATACTTCATTATGTCATTTCTGCAGGTGTCTAGTATTCTAGAAATGATTCCTGAAAATTCTCAAATTGTCACAACCCTTCTTTAAAGGTAGTTCAGAAGACTTTGTTCCTTGCAGTAATTTGGTACCTCACAATAAACATGCTTTAGGAATCACTGCTGTCCTTGAAGCTGAAAAAATGCCGCAGAAATACTGGACCGAATGCAACCAGTGCATTAACCCTATCCAGGGAGTTCTTTATACTTAGCCCAAAGCTTTTTCACTTTCACACAGTTGTTTCTTAAGATTACCTCCTGCCCCTGCAGTTTATTCTCTAGCCTAATAACTTCAGATGTCTACGCTCACATCATCTTGTTTGTGACAGCGCTACAATAAAGGAATGGCAGGAGCAGACAGCTTTTTGAACAAAGAGCTTGTTTTTTATGCTGAGTTTGGAAAAGGAAAGTCAACAAAAGAAATAACCAGAAACAATAAAAAAAGATTCGTTTCCAAGGGGTTTTTTTTCCCCCCATAGGTTTACATGAATACTTAAGTGAGGTAGAAGACTTCAGTCCAGAATATCACATTCAATTTTATTTAAAGAGCAACTTTATCTGAAGGATTAAACATGCAAGTGACAAAACACATACAAGCTCACTTGCTTAGTCACAATCAAATACTATGCTTGAAATAGACAAAATCCATAAAACAGCATTTTGAAAACGGGCTTTAAAATGATACAACGTCAGAAAAAGCAGGGAAAAGGAAGTCACTTCCAAAGATCTGAAGTTGCAGAAGGGGCTGTATTTAGGAAGCAGCTTGGAAATAAGGAAAGAGGCAGACAGGAAACTAGGAAACAAAGGAAGGACTACCAAATAAAGCATTAAGTCTAAAATGGAAGACAGAATTGTAAGCAACTTGACAGGTAGATGAGAAAACAATGCGAAAAGAGGGAAAATGGTTTAATAATGAGGTAGAGCAAGAAAAAGTAGACAAACCGTACAGTTCGGAAACAGATTTGCTGACTACTATAACGATTTTGGAAGAGCAGATCGGTGGTGATACAAAAATCAAGGCACAAATGCAAGTCTAAGCACCAGCCTTTTTCTTGAAAACTAAGGAAAAAAAACTCGTAGATGTGAAGAAACACCTGCAAGATTTCATGTTGGGAAGAACAGAGAAAAATCTTCTGATGGAAGGGAACACTGAGATTTCTAGTAGCAAATGAAAGCTTGGTGAAGCATCAGTTGACAAGGAAAGTGGGCAGTGTAGCTGCAAGAGGAACATTCATGGTGGTCATGTCTCATTTAATGCACGAGGCAGTATAAAATAGTGAGACAGAAAGAGAATTAAGAATATGAGGTAAAGAAAAGCAAGAATTCACTTAGATATCATAGTATGATGGGCCTGAGTGACAATTTGACACCCTTTGGTCAAGAATGAAAGAAAGGCAATGCGTTTGGCACACACTAATGGAAGAAGCAGAGATGGTCATCCCAGCAACTGAAACAAAAACAAAGCATCAGAAAACAGAGAGGGGAAAAAACATAATAAAGAAAAAAAAAGTAAAAGTTTCCAGTAAAAGTTTACTGGAAAAGCTTCCAGTAAAAGCTGATGAGAAGTGAAAAGCAGGAAAAATCGTCCCTTGTTTCTAGCTTCTCGCGTTTCTAACAGTTTGTGACGGTTCTGGTCAGTCGATGACTGCACAGAAAGCCAACCAGGAAAGGTTCAGAAAACCAACAGAACTAAGGATGAATAAAACAACAATCTTCTTAAACCAGATTTTAGAAAGGAATGTCCTGAGGAGACAAAGTACTGAAAGGATGGGTGGTGGGGGAGACAGCGGACCACACCAACATAAACAGGAACAGCCCAAAGGAGAGGAAGCAAGAGCCTCCAAGGGAAGAGTCTTTTTGGCACCTAGTCTTATTTCAGAGTAGGAAGTGATTACAGCAGTGAAGCTGTGCATAATAAAAAATTGTAGATATTCGTTTATTCTACTCTCGATGAAACTGTTCTGTCCTCAATAGCACTTTTTATTTAGGCACTTTTGTCCCACACTGAACTTGGGTTTGCAGCTCAGTGGTAGAGCCGATCAGTCATCCATGCCCTCAGCCATCTGAAATGTTGACATAAAAGTTTCAGGCTCCCCCAAGGGCATACAGCTGCTTTGTGTGTCCAGAAACTCCTGCTAAATGATTTCTGTAATTCACCCAAGCATCAGACATACTCCTAATGACAAGCAAGCAGCATGCTGCGTTTGCAGCAACAGAAATACATGTCTGAGTACAGTCACTCAGTTTGAGGACTTATGACATCATTACGCAATACATGACCCGCTACAAAGCACTGAAAAGTTGTTTTACCCACTGCCAGTTCTAACCATTGCCCTAGCAATTTCCCAACTTCATTTTAAACACAGGAGTTGCTACAAAGCATAAGATAATTGAGATGAATACAAGGATAGAAGGGTGAAATCTAGCGTCGTTTGACATCCAAGAGGTCAGACTAGATATCAACAGCTTCATTTACCCTCAGACTTTGTATATAGCTCTTGGAAAGCAGTTTATACCTGCAGACGCCTGGCCTGATTTACAGCACCTTAAGAACATTGCTAAAATAAAACCACTGATGACCTGGGTTTGACTTAAGACTTTTATACTTCAAAACAACCTCAGGCACGCCTCCAAAGCTCAGTTCAACTGGAATTAGAAGAGACATCATTCACACAGTTAGGAAAGGCTCACAGAGATTTCTGCTCCGTGAGAACCACTGGAGAGGCAGCGCCTCTAGCTTCAACAGAGCGAAGTTGAAAGGCGCTCAGATACAGTACAAATGTGCTCAGCACAAACACTCAAATCTGAGAAAACCTACATCTTTGCAAACTTCACTATTACACCATGCAGCAAATGGGTGAAAGATAAAGATACAATTTTCTATATGCATCTACAACATTCACAGATAAGCTCCAAACATGGAGGTCCCTGGATCGGCTACATTAGCTGCTTGCTGGTGACACAGGGCAAAAGCACAGCAAACAGGAGCGTAAGCTTTGATACTGAAAAATTAAAATCTTGCCATCATTCACAGAAAAAAAAAAGTAGTTTTCAGTTAGGAAGAGGTTTTCTATCATGCAGGGCATTACAGAGCTAACTACGCAGAAGAGGCTAACAGCCATCAGAAGTCTATCACTCCACCTTTTTATACACTATTTCAAAATGACTACCGGAATTACAGCTGGAAAGAACACGTCCCTGTAAGAGCAGTTTATCTAAACTGTTGGTTTCACCAGTAATCTTCTCTTGAGATTACTCAGAGCATGTAAAATATACAGCATTAGTGACTCATTCCAGGTGAAGGTCTAATTTTATTCTCCTTAATGTGTGCCACAATGAGCTCCTAACAGCCAGCTACACCAAAACTCTCTTCCAACTCTCTTCATTTAGCTTCTTTTTAAGGAGCACTGGGATCTGCGCTCATCTTCCTCATCTCACAGAAACAAGCGTGTTGCTGAACTTGTCCTGAGATCCGCCCCAACAAAGACCTAAGGAGGCTGCTTTGGCAACAAGCTCAAGATGCCCCATTTAGAACTATTTCCCCTACCTTGTTATGGCAACGGGAAACCAGTCGGAGTACCATGATACTTAACAAGAATGCGAAATAGCAATGAGAGCTGTAGCGGCAATTCATGCTATCAAATAAATACACTGACTAAGGCTCAGCCAAGTCAGTGTGCTAAATGGACAAGCAAGACATTCTCTCCTCGAATAAAAATCTGGTTTATGTGGCGTGTGAACACCTGTTGATAATCCACTTTGGGCCTCTTCTTTCTCCGTGACTGGCTTCTTGCATGGGTACCACCAGCACTGGCACCCTCTGTGTGGGTAGTCCCGCTCCCCGTATCAGCTTCACCTCTGATAGCCAGATGCAAACCGTCACCTGGCGTCTTCTTTTCTCCAGCTCTGCTCAAGCGTTTTTGCCTCTCGCGCTCATCTTCTGCTCTCCCTCGTCCTGATCCAGCTTTCCATCCAAGCGTTTGAGAGTCATTTGTCAGGACTAGCTCCTCTGAGACAGTCTTTGAGTCAGCTCCCTTCTTTACTGAGGACTCCTGCAGTTTGAGTCTGTCAAACAGCTGTAAAGGAACATTTGTGTATATGACCACATTCATACAACAAGGGAGGCCTCCTGTTCTGCATTTCTACATGATATTGGAATATATGATCCTGAATCAGAGGTCACAATACACAGTTAGTGCAGAATCTTCACTAGTAATAAATACCATGTTTCTTGCCAAAGTCAAATTGTGATATAAGGTGAAAGGATCTCTGGCACATGCATGGGTGCCTTTAGTGTGACCACCATGGAAGGTAATTTGGGGAGCAATATAGATGTGCAGTAGCATTTAGGTTATGGCAGGAACAACAGAAGTCTACCAAGCTGCTCCTCTAGCTCTCTTTCCACAAACCTCTTGTAATGTTATCAGATAGTACTAGAGAGATTTGATTTCTATCCTTTCCTCCTTAAGCAGGACGCAAATCCTTGTGGTAAGGAGCCTCAGTCATCAAGGAGCGCATACTCAGAAGATAACACCAAAACAAACTGAGAGAGGCCTTGAGGGTATTCTGAGAGGTGAGCAGACAAAAATAACAGGAAAAAAAGCCTAGAACAGCAGATCCAAAGCACTGTATCAACTCATTAATCTAAGAACACATGGTGCTGAAATTGGAAAAGAAACTGCTTTTATTATGTCAGTAAGCAAGTTTTTATGAAATACTGACAAATAAAAAGGATTCTGGGTGAGCCTGTCTCTTCCTACCAACAGGACTGAAAGCCCATCCCGTGAGAGTGGGCTAAAGGAACAATGACAACTTGATTATTTTAAAGTAATCTTTAAAAAAGGGAGGCTGGGATCCATCAGAAGATTTAAGAGAGTTAAATGGCATGGATTTAAAAGTGAATTCCTCACAATGAAACTGTAGAAGTTTTTGCGATGCTTCTCTAATGTTCAAAAGGCCCAAAGCTATGTCGTTCTACAGGCACAGCCCTGCCACATTTTTTTTTTTATTGTTCAAAATCGATTATCATGTCTTCAGGTTTCAACTCTGTAAACATTCTTTTATGCAGCTGGTCCTAGAGAGCATCTTGCTTTGGAGCAGCATGAAGAAGCTTGGTCTTCACAGTACTTAGACAGACCAGGAGTTCAAACGATCAAATAGACAAACTGCATCACTGGTTAGAGACAAACACTGCGGTTGCACAAACACCAGTATCAGGTTTATACGCTGCCAAATCACCTCGCAGAATAAATTTTAACTGGATCACTCACAGGCACAAAAAAAAAACAAAACACATTTGTGCCAAATTAGCTACAGCACAAAGTACTGAATTTATGCTTGGCTACTGGAAGATAAAAAACAGCTCCAACCTAAAGCTAGACAGTACAGAATGAACACATCAAAAGCCACAGAGTGACTTTACAGAAGATCAGCACATTGCACTAAGGAATGCAATACCTAATAACTGTGATCTGATATTAGGAACTTTAAGGTCAGAACTTCTGAAACACTGAACTATGGCCAAAGTACCTTCAGAAAGGCCAGAAAACTGCTTTTTTCAGTTCAAGCAATGTTCGAGTCCTCCGTAAGTAAAACATTTCAAGGGTAAATATAGCTTTCCAGTCAATGCTCCCCTTCTACTACTTTGAAAAATGAGATGCTCCAGAAATTAAAATAGGAGATGGTTACCTACCCTGGTTAGAGTGAGCTGAGGTTCAACATAGAACGCTTTGCCCAGTACTGGCTTCCTGTATGTCTCATCCACATCTGTCAGGGCCTAGAAAATTAAAGAAATGAAAAGAAAGTTAAAAATTAAAATAAAAGACCCAAAGGGTCTTCAAATCAGCTTTGTGTCACACCACTATGAATTATGCTCTATCTCAGGGACAGTCCATCCTAGGAACAAGCTATGCTTTGGAGCTGCCTTCTTAACACCTAAGTTACACTAAGGTACAAAAGCAAAAGAGCTGCAGATTTGCAAAATCTTTCTGAGCCTTGCCTGCAAAATCCTTCCATTTTTTGCACCTATTTCCAAGTTTTTCACAGCTCCAGACTCACAACTTTTTAATAGCTACTTTCTGCATCTATTGTCTTTAAAATCTTCGTAAGATAGAAAAGACTGGAAAAGATACAGTCCTCTGCTTTTGTCGCTGACATACAAGTGACTTGTTAGAGAAAGAAAACTTGTTAGTGAAAGAAAACTGGCTACCAATGTAAGAAGTTTGGATTTTGTAGAGAAAGCTTTAGAAGCTTCTGATAGTCTTCATATTCCACCTGCTGGCTTCTAATCCAAACCCTTGAAACTGTTGGAAACTCTTCAGACTTCCCCCTTACCCTCACCTAAAACCTCCTCTAAAATGGCTAAGCATCTCTCAGACATACCAGTCACACCAGGCACCACTTAATGCTGAAACCCAGCAGTCAGCGCAAGGACAAACTAGCTTTATGGGCCACAGTATCACACTTATCTTCTCAAAACCTAATTTGCTTAAACCTGTTGCAAATTTCAGTGTAAATCAAGGGCCGGAACAATAATTACCATATTCCAGAACTTGTCAAACGCAACCAAAAACCCTGTGCAGACTCCACGAAGCCCTTTGAAAGTGCGGATATGGACATTGATTTTTACACCATCTCGGACACAGCGATGAAGCTCCCCCAGTGGGCTGCCTTCATGAACTAAAACAGAAAGAGAATGTCACTTGTCTTCAACAAAATACATTTGCATAGAAAGCATGTAAAAATCTGCTTTACTGTACAAGTACAGCAGATCTTGGAACAACACTTGTTTTTACAGTAAAAGAAAAGAGAAGCCCCAGAACACTGTAATGCCCTCTGACAGTAGTTACTAGACCACTAAACCTCTTTTTACAGCAAGGACAGCAAAGATTTCAGAAAATATCAAGGTCTCCCTTTACGTAACAGGTAGCCAAATCAGCCTTAGCAGAAAATCTTTTTGCTATATTTAAAAAAAATTCTAGGTAGTCCTCATTTCAAATAAACGTGGGTCAAAAGGAAGCAAAAAACTCAAGGAGGCAGAGAGAGGTTCCCAGAAAAGACAAATGCCAAATTAAGACCACTCCAAATTAGTTATGTTTTGATAAAAAAGAATATTTGATCCATCACGCAGAAACGTTCCTTTTCTTTACAAGGAGATTCTGAAATAACAGATCACCAGGACTTCTTCAACTAACTAAACTGGATCAGTTTAAATTGATGAAAGTGTATCGTTTCAGCTAAGCCTTTGAGCAGCCAGGGCCATGAAAACACGTCCTTCAGAGACATGCAGTTCTGTGGCAAAGAAATCCAAAGACTACCACCAACAGACACCAATGAAACCATGCTAAACTGCAGAACGGTAACACCTCCAGTCAGGATAAAAAGAGAGTAAGAAAAACATATAACTTACCTGGTTAACTTACAAGCCTCATCTACACACTAGAAATCTTTGCAAGTGAAAATTATCTAGAGGGCAAGATACTATTTACATTACAACTTCTACCCATGCCACGGTGAAGCCGTTCCAGTGACGTGCAAACGCAACCATGGAATTGCTGTGCAATTCCTACCGAGAGTCGGGGAAAACTATCTGTCTGAAACGCACCTCTCACAATTCGTCACGTTAATAACAGCACCTGAAACCGAGATGAACTCTCCCCTTTACACTCAACACTCAAGGCTTTAATTTGCACATTAGAAAATGCATACTGTGGACCTAAAATGTTACTGCACGACAGCTGATCTGCTGATCTGCATTATTTGGCTGCATGGTTAACATCTGGCCACGGCATGGAAATACAAAGTAGCTTCCTCTGAAGTAACTTAAATCACATTTATTATCTGAGATGCAATGTCTTCTTTCTAGCTCTCTACAGCTGGGTATCCGGAAAAGAAATGCTTTAACACAGCGCATAAGCTGTCTTAGTACCTCCCAACTTTATATATAGCGGTAATTCATGAGTCTTCGTACTTTCTTCAGCCTAACTGATATTAATCTCACGTTTTCAACTCGCAAGTCCTCCAAAGGAACCAGAGAGGACGCTGTCACTGTATCAGATGGACGTTTTTAATGAGGTGCAGTATTTTTTCTAAATCAACCCTGAGAATCTGCAGGAGCGTTTTAGATTTAGGTAAATATATTTTTACATTGGAAGTTTATCCATAACTTCTTGCAAAAATTGAAGTGAAGCACAATCTTTATTTCCAACTGTGCCTTTGCTTATCAGGGCCCTGTAAGGCCTGGTAGAAAAACACTGTATTTATGGCCCTACCAAATCTAGATAACACATGCTGTTCCTACTTTTCCTTCCTGTGTAAGGCTCCAGCTTCACCAGATCAAAAGGGCAGAACGCGTTATTCAAGAAACCTTTCAATAATCAGACATCCACTTATCAGAAAAATAAAAATAGCAATTTGAGTAATTTATCTCTGCAACATGCCTCTCCTGCAAGCATCAAAGCCTGCCATGACCAGGCTCTGCATGTAGTAGATTTGCCTGTAGCTTTTGATGCTGTAAATACCAGTGTTAATAATTTTAAACTCAAAATCCAATTCCTGTTTGTGTAAAATAAACACACGCTTAATACCAAGACTCTGAAGAATTATTAGAAAGCTACCATAAGCCGGAGGGAAGTACCCCGGGAGAGACAAAATAAAGATCCAAACTGGTTGAGTTCAAGTCCCTGTCCTCAGGGTAGATTTTATTAAGAGATAAGATTCAGAAACAAGAGCAAAGCAAGTCAGAGCGCCTGAAATAACTCAGAACACTATCAAGTGCCTTTCTGACTGCTTTGCAGTAACCGCGTGCGCACAAGTTCTTTGCCCCTTGGCAAATTCAAGGTAATTTGAAATAGCTTCTACTGAACCGATTCAAAGCAGACACTGCTATAGTGGTTTCCTTTTTACTTCGGTAGTTACATGTGAGACCATCCCTCAGGACAGGCAAAAAATCTGACTCCGTTCTACACCTCTGACACCCTGAATTTGAAGAACACAGCAAACTAACGTATCACACGTACTTCTAGAGGAAGCCACCACATTAGAGTCCAAGTTTCGAGCGCAGCGCAGTCTGCTGGGCAGACAGAGCCCCTAGTTACAGGGGAAGCACACAATTCTGGCTACAAATTATTCTTACAGCTCTCCATACAACTGAGTATCACTTTATATGTCAGTTATGCCAGTCTTCTTCAAAGTCCACATGGTCCAGTCAGCCACTTCTTAGACACGCAGAAATTAAACATGCACTCTGAATGGAAGCATCCAGTTTATTTGCTAGACCACCACTAAAGCTATTTCTTACAGAGGTTTTTCTAACTTTCAGTCATAGTAATCTAAATAACAGATGCTTTATATGAAGATCCTAAATCAATATTTAAGGTCAACTCTTTTGGGAATCCTACACAACAGATCCTCTGCATTTGCGCAGAACCCCAAGCTAACATGATGTGATTTACGACCATGTAGCACCTGTGGCAATGAATATATTATGTTTTTATGTCTAAGCATAAGAAAGTTCTGCTTTAGGTATTCAGACCTGAACATTTTGGGCTTTACTTTTTTAGAAAAAGAGCATTAAGACAGTACTGGTGATTAGAAGAGACACTTGACTCCAGTAAAGATGCAGTATTTGTAATTAAGTGCACCTCAGTTACAACTCATTTGACAGCCACGTCACTTGGTTCTTGGTGTAGGTGCACAAATTGCATCTCTTAATGCTTAAAGACTATTACTCTGACTGCGTACATAAATTTACACAAGAAATTTGTATCCTCATCACAAATGATGAATTCAGCAACATTATAGCTCCCTCCCACCTCAATCCACTGTTCTGTCATCATGTCACTAGAAACACCGGCGCTGTATTTATGCCCCCAGGATGTACAGCTAGCAACCAAGATTTATAATAGCATATTAGAGACTCACGCTGTGGTTATGATTTAACGGCTAGCTGCATGGGTTGAAATCTGATTCTTGGTTTGAAAACAGCCTTTCACCTAGCACGCAGTTATCATTTTCCACCCAGACTGCATCCCTCTCCCTGACCCCTCCATACCCCACTGTCACTTAGCCACTCTCCTCCAGTCGCACGCTGCTGAAACCTCCAAGCTCCACATTCCCCAGCAAATTGCTCTGCACTTCCAGTCAACCCGCCTCCAGATGTCTCAACGTCCCCCAGGCCTCCTTTCCCTCCTCCTTCCCCAGGAACTCCAGCATCTCCTTCCCCAGCACTCTCACTTTACACCTTCTTTTTCCACCAATGTCCACTTCCCCTGCTACCCCAGCCCACGTTTTCCAGCTCCTACCCCTCATCCTGCAGCTCCCTAATCAAGGCACTGCTTTTCCATCCCACACCTGACCCAGGCACTACCCTCGTGTCTCCTCTCCCGTTCAGCTTCCTGACCAGCTCCTTTCCTTCCACAAACCAGACAGTTCTGCTCGCCCTCCCACCTCTTCATCCTAACCACAACTTCGCCCCAGGCCGCTTCCCAGCAAGGGTTTCCCTTCCTAACTGCAAACCTTCCACTTCCTATCCATCCAGGCAACCCCCCTGCCCCAGCCCGCACCCCTTCACTATCTATTATAGCTGATATTGACTCACTCACCCAAAAAACAGTCCTTCAGCCACATCCTGATCCAGCCTGCATCCCTCCACCCCGTCCCAGTTCACACCCGTTTGCTCCAGCACAGCCCCCCAACACCCTGTGTCCCCGTCCTCTCCCCTCTTCCTCTCATCCCATGGCCCAGGCTGTGTCCTCAGCCCTTACTCTAGCCCTCCCTATCCCAGCCTGGATCTTCAGCCCTCTTCCCAGCCCCCACATCTCAGCCCACATCCCCTTCTCCAGCCT